GAGTGCTTGCCTTGCATGCATGACGCTCTGGTTCAATTCCTTAGCACCACATAAGCAGAAAAAGCCAGAAATGGCGCTGTGGCTCAAGTGGTAGAGCACTAGCTAGCCTTGAGCTGAAGAGCTGAGAGACAGTGCCCTGGCCCCATGACCGACAAAAATAAATAAATAAATAAATAATAAATCAAATCTAGGAATATAAACTACAAGGTGACAAAATGTATCAAATTATTTTATTGAATTTAATAATAAATGAGCACCAGAGCTGGGAAGTTGGCTCCGTGGTAGAGTGCTTGCCTAGTATGCATGAGGCCCTGAGTTTGATTCCTCAGCACCACATAAGCAGAAAAAATCCCGAAATGGCATTGTGGCTCAAGTGGTGCTAGCTGTGAGCTGAAGAGCTGAGGGACAGCACTCAGGCTCAGAGTGCAAGCCCCACTACCGACCAAAAAAAAAGAAAAAAGAGCACCAGAGATCATTAGCCAGTTCTAAAAAATATTCAAGCAGATGAAGATATGTTACATATCAATAAAGTGAATATAAGGCTGATACTGGTTTTAGGTGCTCGTAAGAAAAAAGAAGGTTCTGATTCTGTTTGCGTTAAGTAATAATGAAAAAAGTTAGTTTTTTTCCATCTAGCCAAAGAGTAACAATTTATGTTATCTATAATTTTTTGTGTGTTTACATTTATTATGCCTGGCAAATTATCGTATTACCCATAAATTTCTGATTCCATTCAAAAAAGCTTACTATTTGGAAAACCCATAGTTGGTTTCATGAGGCATAATACACCATATTTTCTATTTAACAATGCTGCTGGTAAAACCAGCTGTCCAATCTTATTGTTAGTAACTACAGTACTTACAGCAAAAATGATCTGCCTGTTGACCTCCCAGTCAAGTTCAAACTATGTCATTCTGTCAATACCATCTACCTTGATTAGGCTGGGCTTATACACAACAGGTTATGATCCCACAGGGATGAAAAGCTTTCCCAAATTAAAAGCAGAATTTTAAAAGGAAATACTCATACATTCCTACACCATTTCCATTTGATATCCTCAAGGCTGGCCCATGAAGTCAAGCTCATGTTGATTGAAAGTGAATGTTTCTTTCTGGGTGTAGCCATCTTACAAATTTAATGGCAGGAGGAAAATAATAAAATGTGTTCCACACTTCAATTAGACTTTTTATAACTTGGCACTTCAAAGATGGCAATGCCAAAGAAAAATCATTAATCCATTTTTTTTAAAAAGGCAGAACTGTGCAGAAGACAGACCTCCAGGAGTTGAGTGAGTGCCTGGGCAAAGTACACAGTTGCACCAAGATGATCTGTCTTTTATCTTGTCTCACTGTGAGTCTTCTCTTATGCTTCATGATATTTGGATAAAATGTATCCCATATTTGCTTCTAAAATCCAAAGTAACACAACCATGCTTTCAATTTTCTCCTTAGCCAAAGGAGCTGTGTACGTAACCAGGCAATAAAACGTTGGCTAGGCATGAAATGCCTATTCATGCGCATGAATGATAGATGAAAGATCACACACAGAGAACTGCAAAATACAGTCAAAGGATGCATCTTTCCAATTTGTATTTTACAACAGTATGCAGCAGACTGGTTCAAAAGGATCAAAGCCTTTCACAACCCTAGACCAGATAGTTGTGGACACACAAATGTTGTCTGAATGTTTTGAGTCACAAGAGAAAACGGTAGAGTGATGTACATGCACAGTGTCGTGTGGGTTTCTCTCTAAACACAGTTTGAGTGATGCAGGCAGACTCTGTCATTATTGAATGTACAAATTAGCTACCAAAGGAACATATTTCATCACTCTTCTCCCCCTGCATACCTAATATGTCAGCACCAAATCTACAACAATCCCATTCTGATTCTTTGTTGGTCCCAGGGCTGCAGTCTCAGAATTACTGATGACTGTTTCCAAACCACAATCATTGCTTCTTCCATCACTACTTCATGCTATTTAGCTTGAGCTAAGGCACCAAACTACTTCACAAACCCTTCAATCTCAAACTGATTCTCTATCTCCTTCAAGGTCTTCCTGATTTAAGCCTCCTTTTAAACACCAAATTTTGGAAAATGGAATCTGCTTCTAAATTAACCACTCCTTAATTCCTAAATTCTGATGTCTGTCACCATCACTGTAATAAAATTGTACTTTGAAATTGCCAAGCACTTCTCCCAACCTATAGGTAAATCTCATGTGATGGTTTCAAGCTTTTCTTTTCTGGACTTCTCAGCTTTCCACACTCAGATGAAGTCTCCTTCTGGAAGCTCTCTACTGCTCCTTGCACTCCTGCTACTATCTCCCTATTCTTCCCATCTTTACCTGTCACTACTGGCATCTCTTTTGCTTCTTTTTCTACTACTAGTGGTGGTGGCAGGTTCTCTTCTTCTTTTCCATGATTTTAAATCCCAGGCCATATGAAGACTTTTTTTCTAATGTCTTATGCCAGCACTAATAATTCTTTGTTTTTCTCTCTTTATGGTACTAAGGTTTGAATTCAGTTTTGTACTTGCTGGGTGGGCACTCTACAACTTGAGCCAGGCCTTTATCTCCTGACAACTCTTAGTATCAAACTCACATTTTCTATGGATGTTGAAAATCTTCACAAGATGGCTGCCAGCATTTCCAAGTCAAAACAGTCACTATAATCTCATTTCAACCATTCTTCTAATGTCTTCCTTGATTCTCTTAATCGCTACCCCTTCAGTCTCAGTCACCAGTCTTGTCAAGTCCTGGAGTTATCTTCACTCCATCTCTCTGTGCCAACTGACACACTTTCTGTCAACTTTTATTCCATAGTGCTCTTGCCTTTCTCTTCCACTGCCACCAATCTAGTTTAAAACTTCCCCATAATTCAGATGGATGCAAATGGTAGGTCCCCACATAATAATTCCTAAGATTCAATTCTGGTTATTAGATCATGACTAAATTCAAACTTAGCATAGCTCTCAAGATGGTGTCCTCCACCATCTTTTAATTTTACTTTTAGTTAGTTGTTTACATATGTTTTTATTCTTGGTCTTTCCTATCTTTGTAGCAAGCAAGCTTCCCACCTGGCATTTAGTACAGGATAGCTTAAAACTCCTGCACTCATGAAGTCTTACCTCACTCTCTGCATCCTAACTCCCCAGGAACTTCCACTGCTGCCACTGCTTACTTTCTTGTTGCTCATAGGACAGTGAGATTCGTGGCTTGCAAAGTTTAGCTCCCAAGCTAGTAACACCATCATAGCCTCAGATCTCATTAAAAATAAAATTTGCTGTGTCTTATCCCAGACTTATTGTATCACCAACTCTGGGATGAGCCCAGAAATTTATGTTCTAATAGCACTCTAGGTGATAGTCCTACACACTGAAGTTTAAGAATCAGTGATGGAAGAGAATCTTTCCAATAAGCAGCTTTCAGTAAGATAAAACATGAATGAATAATTAGCTTTTTATCATCTTAGTGTCAAGTAATTCCTCCAAAACATTGTAAGTTGAAGAAACCTATGTTATCAGCATATTAAATCTTGTACATTTAGAAAATTACCGAAATTTTGAAATAAAAAATTCTTTTTATAAAATTCAAAATAACAAATGATAGATTGTTTGGATATGCATAAATACTTGTGCAACTATCTATCATTTAAAAAGCGAGAAATGATAATCACACAATTCAAGACTAGGTTTCCATCCAATGTCTGCATGTTGGGCAAGACAAACCATGTTCAAAAAGACAAATATTTTATGTCTTCACTCATGTCAAATCAAGACCCTAAATGATAATAATAATAACAATCATAAGACAAGAACATAAGAGAGGGACTGTCATGGGAGGAAAGTCAAGTGTACAATAGTGAGGGAAAATATAACAAAACCCACTAAGTAATGTATAAGAAGGGAGAGAGGAGCCGGGCGGCGGTGGCTCACACCTGTAATCCTAGCTACTTAGGAGGCTCAGATCTGAGGATCACGGTTCAAAGCCAGCACTACCAAGAAAGTCCGTGACATTCTTATCTCCAGTAACTACCAGAAAACTGCAAGTGGCACTATGGCTCAAGTGGTAGAGTGCTAACCTTGAGCTGAAGAGCTGAGGGACAGCGCCCAGACCCAGAGTTCAAGACAAAAAAAAAAAAAGAAGAAGAAGAAGGAAGAGAGGTATAACAAGGATAAGGAAGAATAGAGGATAAGTTGATGTTAAGCGAAATGAACCCCAAGATAAGGACTCAAATTTTTTTTCTTTCTTGCTATTGTTTCTAACATATTTATAAGATATTTCTTTGTTGCTTTGTATGTCCCTCCCCCATGGTATAACCCCTGTTTTCACTGTATTTGATGTTGGTACAATTTGTGGAGGGGAAGGGAAAAAACAAATTGTTTAAATAGGGATACAGGTGGACCCATTGCAACAATGAGATGTACAAGGGTTATGTCGGAAATGAACTTTACAACTTTTGGGAGGGGAGAAAGGGAGGGAGATGGGAAGGGATGGGAAGGGGAAACAAAGGAGGAGGCAACAATGCTTGATAAGAAATGCACTCATTACCTTGCCTATGTAGTTGTAACCCCTCTGTACAGTATTTTCACACACACACAAAAATAATAATAGAGGAATGAACCTGATTAAAGTACATTGCACAAATCTGTAGAGATATTACAATGAAACTTCTTTGGCCAAGTTTAATGTATGGGTAATAGAAAAAAAGAAAAGGTTCTATCCAAGAAAAAAGAAGCTGGTCGGGATCAAGATAGAACATATACATAGATCCAAATCATCAGGACTATCTAGGGTCCTCAGCTGGCTGGTATGTTTTCAGATATTCACAATGCTACTGAAAATAATTAATTAAAGTCATGTATGGACCAATGCTGACCAAAGGATTGTTAATCTAATTGTAAGGGCTCTTTTAAAAGACATGAAACAGAATTAGGACATGTCACAATTCTACCCCTAGTCTCATTATTAACACCAGTAATGACAGATGCTAGTTGTACCTGTGTACGGTTGAATGCCACTCTCGCAAAAACAGCTTGAGACACGCTGGCCCTTTTGAGCTCATCTCTGACTTGCTGGTAGATATCTGGAGAGACTTCCACGGAGGAGTTGGTTGGCTCTGGTTTAACTGCTCTGGGAATGGGTGGATGGTTCAAGAACTGCTGGTTGATGGCTTGAGGATGCTGGTGAGCCAGGAGCCGGCTAACGGCAATCTGTTGGTTTATCAGATGGGCCATGGCTATTTGTTGCCTAACAAGTTGTGGACTAAGCTGGGGAGAAAGAAGACCAGGGCTCATGATGGGCTGTAATGCGGGCACTTGGTTTCGGATTGGAGTACTGTGGTGGATTTGGCTATGAGGAGACTGTTCGTTGGTTTTCCCCAGAGTGGCCAGCTGGTTCATATTTGGTAAATGCATTGGACGCTGGCCCAGAACACAATAGTCTGAAAGGTTCTCTCGCTCCACTCTTTCCACTGTTAAGAAAACAAAATGAGAGTTCATAATTATTTTCATTGTTACAATTATATTATTGTTAATGTATGGAATACTGAATTGTTATATTTTGGTATATTCGGGACAGGTTATTTTCATACAAGGCTGGAAGTCCCAGAGTGAAAGTGAGTTATTCTTTCCCATTAAATGTCCTAACTATTGTTTTCATAAGAGATACAAAAATAAAAATATTTGAGACTTCAGCTTGTTTAAATGTTTTATGAGTATATGCTGGCACTGGGAAGCTGAACTCAGCCTCTTGCTCAACTGGTCATACTGAGGTGGCACTTTACCACTTTAGCCAGGCCTCCAGTCTCAAAGACATTTCTGCCTAGACCCCACATCTCACTCTTCTGAGAAGCAAGAATTACAGTCATTAGCCACTGACACCCAGCTCAGCTTTAGAACTATAAAAGTAATCATTTCATTGAATGACCAGTACAAAAACCACAAGCATCACAAATTCCAAAGTCCTCAACATCTCAAACTGCAACATCTCTCTTCCTTATCATCCGTCATCATAAAAATTCCAGCTGTTTTTTTTCTTTTGGCTGAGGTGTAGTTCATGATCACTGGGAAACGACCGGGACAACATCTCCTAGTACATTAAGTTTTGTAACAAAAAAGCTCTCATAAATACTATTATATAATTCTACACATGATAATAGGAACGTTTATCATATAGTATATGCACTTATCTTCTTGTTTGCTATCTTTTATATAGGGATGTTTCTCTAAGAACTGGGTGTCTGAATATCTGCTATGTATGGAAATAAGGAAAAAACTCACAAGATTAATAACATCATCTAGACTTGTTATTATATGAGATTATCCCACTCTCCAGACTATCTATTACATTTTCGTATATTTTACTAAAGATTTACAGAGTAATCTTGAAAGGAAGAAGAGAAAAAAAAAAGGATATTAGCTGGGAGCCAGTGGCTCAGGCCTGTAATGGTACTAACTCAAGGCTGAGATCTGAAGATCCTGGTTTGAAGGCAGCACTGGCATTAAAGTCCATGAGACTCCAATCAACTACCAAAATGCTAGAAGTGGAGCTGTGGCTCAAGTGGTAGAGTGCTAGCCTTAGACACAAGAGTTCAAGGATAGCACCCAGGTCCTGAGTTCAAGCCCAGGACCAGAACTCACGCATGCACACAAACACACAAACACACACACACACACACACACACACACACACACACACACAAGCATATCATGGATGTACAAATGTAAAGCAATGGGGTTTTTTCCTCCAAGATTATTTCTCAGGAAAAAAAGTTACTTTCCAGTTAAGTGCTAATCAAAGCTTTGTATTAATTGTGTAAGCGAAGTTTTGTTTCAAGAAACATACTATACTAAAATAATTCCATTAGTACTAGTTTTAAATGCTTAAAGGTGTAACCTAACAAAATCAGTGTTTGAAATATCCATTCAGACTTACTAATTATTTCTAAAATGGGCATCAAATATAATTATGCAAGTCTGTTACAGATAACTTAAGAGAGCAGGGTTTCATAATTCACACCTGTAATCCCAGCATTTGGGAGGTTAAATCAAGAGGATTGAGAATTCAAGACCAGCCAGGGTTACACATAACAAAGTGGTTACTTGTTAGATCAAAAGTGTTTACTTGCAGGACAAATGTTACTTGTAGTCTGACATACAGTTTACAGTGACAGAATCATATTTGTATTAAATGAAAATTATGACACTCAAAAGCTTTAAAAAAATGTTGAGTGCTAGAAAACTGAGTGAGGTGGCTGAGTGCTGAAATTCCCTACCATAATGGTGTAAGAAGTATTTATAAATCACTATCTATGCAACACATGATTTTTAAATATACATGTGGAAGTAAATTAGTATGTTAAAAATGCAAATAGATTATTTAACTGTAAGTCTAAAAGCTTTATATACTTAAAACTTCTCCTTTGAAGAAACAGTTGAAAACCTGTATCTTGTATAATATATAAATATAATATTGTGCTATTGTGCATTATATTTAGATAGGCACAGTACTCTTTTCTCCTTTTTGAAAGAGTCAAAATTTTGCTTAACTTTCCTATGAACTCCAAAATAAGTCAAAAGTTTACTTTAACATTCTTTTTAACTTAATCCTTTCTATGTAATTCATTTCATTTATATGTCACCTTTCCTACATCAAGTTCAAGGTAAACAAATTATTGTAATCTTCCCCTCTAAAGGCACACATTTTCCAATCACTGTATTAATTAAACTTTAAAGTACATAGTCTTAAACCCAAACCAAGTAAATGGCTAAGAGACTTCAGATAAGGTAATCTAATACAGTTTCCATTGAACAGGAATTACTATTGTAATTTCCTTATTGAAAGAAGATGTAAAGAAACCATGAACTGCTTCCAGATTAAAGTCAAACTAGACAGAAACACATGGTTCTCAGTAAACATTTGACTTACTTATTTGTTTGTTTGTTTTTAATTCAAAGGGAAGATGAACTCAAATCAGATACTTTATAAGCAGGCTTTATCTACATTTTTCTATAAGAGAACTACTCTCTGACCAAAAGCTAATTTTTCCATCTTTTCAATATTTTTACTTTTTAAGGACTTACACTTGAGTGCACTAACTTTCTTGATATACAGACAAATAGATATGGATTTAGAAATCACATCATTAAAAGGCCCATTCAAAGATGTACTCAAAATATATATATAATTAATTGTAAATGTGAGAGTTCCATAAAGCCTATGTGAGTTCGTACAGTAAGGGTCAGAATAATACCAGTCTATATCCTTATGCTTATATATAATAATTACTATCTCTGAATTTGAAGTTCATTATAAATTCACAGTTACAGGTTGACTCACTGTAACAATGAGATGTACAAGATACTATGTTGAAATGAACTTTCCAAGTTCAGGGTGGGGGGTGCGGGGGGAGAAGTTGGGGAGATGGGGTGGGAAGGGATGGTATGGGAAAAACAAAGGAGGTAACAATGCTGCATAAGAAATATTCTCATTACCTTACACATGTAACCCCTCTGTACAGTATTTTTACAATAAAAAAATATATACAAAAAAAAGAACGGTGACTAAAAGTGCCCTTAGAGACAGGTGATTGCACCTGAGAGGTAAGCCATTTTATGAACCTTAATGACCAGGTATACATGGAAATGCACACCCACCCAGGCAGTTAACAGCCAGAGAAGCCACCTGCAGAGGTCCCAGGTGGAGGGAGCAAAGCCTGACAGAGCCAAAGGGCAAACCGCGACCTCGGCCTTGCCAATTTTCTTTTTCTTGCATTGTCCTTCCTCCCAAGTTTGATTAAAAAGTCTCCATTTTTACATGGTATTTCCTACTGTTCATATGTTAGCAACTAACTGGAAATACAATAAAAGTCAAACAAAACATTTCTGATAACAAAATTCTACCCATGGGCTTCTAGTGTGTAAACCTTGCCTGAGAGATCAAAAGTACCTTTAGGTTTTTCATTCCCTGGCAGCTCTATCAGTAAAAGCAGGATCTTGTGCATGGCATTGGTGGCTCATGCCTGTAATCCTAGCTACTCAGGAGGCTGAGATTGTGATTCAAAGCCAGCCCAGGCATGCCAGAAAGTCCATGAGCTGCTTATCTCTAATTAATCATCAAAAAGCTGGAAGTGGAGCTGTAGCTCAAGTGGTAGAGCACTAGTTTTGAGTGAAAAAGCTCAAAACACTGGCAGGTTCCTGAGTTCAATCCCCATGACTGGCACAGAAAGAAAAAGCAGGTTCTTTACTTCTAAACATAAAGGACAAAAAAAGTATTATTCAAGTTTTAAGAATGCCTGAAAATCAATTGCTCATCAACAGACTGACTCTTTCCTTTCCAAGGCTACATATTATTTCAGTAGTGATTTGTATCACTGCCTAATTTGAAAGCCTTTTTCATTTATTTCTGGCCACCACTCTTATAAAAAGAACATGAGAAAGATATTGTCAGCCTATTAAGTCACAGCAGGTGGAGTACAAATTTAAGAACCAAAATGGGTATAAAAGGGGGAGAAAGGAAGAAAGAAAAGAGAGAGGAAGGAAGGAGAAATTAAAGAAGGAAGAAGGAAAAAGCAAGAAGGGAGGGAGAAAAGTAGGCCTGAAAGGAGGGAGGGTAGAAAGGTAAGAGTTAGAATGTACCTAACTGTACCTGAAAACAGACTGGACATCTGTTACTTCTTTTCCTGTCTTTCATCCCTTTCTTCCTCCCTTTCTATTTCTTTCTCTTTCTTTTCTGTTCTCTTTTTCCCTCTGTCACTCTGTTTTCCTTCCTTCTTTCTAAGTAATCACAATGGCTGACACACAGACCTAACAGAAGTGCCTGGTTTTCTTTCTTTAGCTACATTACCAGGGATTGAATCCTAGCACTACAGCTTGGTAGATATATAACCTTGACAGGGTACTTGATTTCTCCATGAAGGGAGATATACTGAGTGAGTAAATATGTGTCAACACAACACACACACACATACACACACACACATACAGCATGCAGGTTGGTGCTGTCAGATAAAGTATGATTTGGCCTCATCACTAGATCACATCAGAAATTCAGCAGCTCAAATCAGAATCTCATAGGGTTCTAGTTCTTTTTTGTTGTTCTTTTTGGGTTTTTGGGGGGGGGTTCGGTAGTGGGGGCTGAACCATGGGTCTGGTCACTGTCCCTCAGCTCTTCAGCTCAAGGCTAGCACCCTACCACTTGAACTCCACTTCCGGCTTTTTTCTGCTTATGTGGTGCTGAGGAATCGAACCCAGGGCCTCATGCATGCAAGGCAAGCGTTCTACCACTGAGCCACCTTCCCAGCCCCAGGGTTCTAATTCTTACAAACACTAAAGCTTGAAAATCAAGCCAACTGTGAGCAAGAAAGCTAGGTAAGCACATAAGATCCTGAGTTCTAGCCCAGTATCAGTATACACACACACACACACACACACACACACACAAACACACACACACACACACACACACACACAC